ACTGTTTCTGCACGATTAAGTGGCGAATTCGTTGGACCAGGGGAGAAGTGACTCTCGTGGGGACTCGCAGAACGCTTTGTCAAAGTTCCCATATAATCGGACTTCTTTCTATAGATTGTACATACACTTAGAACTGATTTGTCGATGTCTTTCATCGCGAAGGGAAGAATGTATTTCCATGGATTTGATAATTTTGCGTTCCCATGCGTTGCAGGGAAATACGTTGGCTTCGGAAGAATTTAAAAATATGAAGCTCTATTATTTATTTTATATGATATATAGGTGATTGATTATAACGATGAAAGTTATGTCACGAGATTTCCAGAATGAAATCTTGGAGTATTGAGATTTGCCAGCCAGAATCTTTAACACTAGGTTTACGGGCATTTATTCTACAGTTTATTCTATTGTTCCTGGGGAAGTTGATATTCGTTCATTTAGATTTTGGAAATTGTAGATGTAGAAATAGACGATCAGGATTCATATTCGTGTAATTGGATCAACGAAAACCGATTGAAAAGTTTACCAAATAATGTTTATAAAATTCAATCTGCGTCAAATTGACGCGTTCCGTAAACCCAGTGTTAAGAATCACAGTTCTCCGAAAGGGAGAAAGCAAAGTTCTGTCCCAGTAAATGGGATTACACGTACGGTGTCGGTTTCTTTGTCTCTTAGGGCTGGCGCTTAAAAGGGAAAAGAAGTTTTGGTTTCTCCCACGCGCGGAGTCAATTGTCTGGCGGGTAAAGAAAGAAGTCGGGAAAACAGGCGGGCAGACCGAGGATTCCGTTAGAAGAGAAAGGGCCGAGGATAATTGCACGCGCAGGGAGGAATGGCAGGTAGAAATTCAGCGGCGGCGTCGGCGGCGTATTTGGAACCAGTACAGGTGTGTACACGCGTTAATAGACTCACCTGCTTTCCTTTTACTGTTTCTTGACCTGCCGTAAACGAAGGAATTTAGGTACTCCACTTGTTGCTTACAATTAACCATCCGCATAACAAACATTCCCGCTCGATGTAACACCCGAACCGCCAGATTCGAGGAATTACGGGCTTGATTTCGATCTTTCGAACTAATTGGAGCCACTTACTTGTAGTGTACACACTAATAATTGTATATCACGATGTAACAATGAAACAGAGAAATCGATCATTCTCCGAGAACTTCTTTCGACGAAATCGCAGTGCAATTATCGTTTAGAATTCGTTTGTGTCATTATAAGCGAGTTTGTATTTTTATCAAAGCTGTTACTAATTTTTCAAATATTTAGTTCTCTATGTGAAACAAGGAAAAGTTGTCCGCAGCCATTTTAAACGAACCCCGTATTCTAGGGCAATTCTTTCAGTCTTAGCCACGCGCAAATACACAGAGCCACGTAACTGATACTTGTAATCGACTGCTCCAGATTAGATAAGCAACCGAGCATCGCCGTTTGTCATCGATGTGCAAATACATCTAATCGTAATACATCGAACTACATTATTGACACGCAGTTTCGCTTCAATGGAAAACCAATTACGACGGAGCTCCCGCCGTTAAACGGAATCAGTTTCTACTTGATCCTTGTTTCTTCGAACCGCGACTAATTTTCATTTTTCAAATTCCGTTCCTATTCGAAATTCTTTCCAATTTAGGAGATATTACTGTTACCAATTAGTCCACTTTACAGTAAATATGGACACAAAATATAACTACAATTCCTCTCTCTCCAATGAACGATTAACCAGTTAACTGTGTTTGACGAGTATACACGTCATCGTAAAGCTTGACATGACACTAACTCTTTCAGCGATGAATTCTTTATTTCTTCACATAAACATGTAATTCTTCTTTGTTTCGCTTTAATCTTTCATTAACACATTGCGGACCGGTAACGAGAAATCTCGTTTTTATACAAAGATACTTAGCTATGCAACTTCGCTAATTACCACAGTATTGAAAAAATATAAAATTTAATTCGAACTGATTATTTAACACTAGAACTACCGAGGATTTAATACAACTGATATGTAATCCCTATAAGAATTCCAACAATACATTATTTTCGGTTTCTTCAGACATCCATTATAGTATTCAAGTCAAAACTATTTATTTTCAGGATCATTTCGAATATTCAATGCTTTTAAGATATCAATAATTGCGGAACAAAACAATCGAAACCAGTCATTTTGACTGGTACGGTAGTTCTAGTGTTAAAATATATTACACAACAATGTATCTGACTTTTTCTATGTATAGTGATATAAGTTGACCTCAGTGAAAATTGCCATCACAATTCAGTTTTCTGAAAATTAGCCGCAATGTGTTCACCCTTTGCACTCAAGAAGTGACTCTCACTCACCACTTGACTTCAAACAGTAAAACTATAAAATTTGATATTTAATATCATACCTTGCACAATGTATCAATTAGTGAGATATTGAAATAAAATAGCTTTCTTCCTTAATGTACGTGTGATTTCTCTTCGAGTTAGTTTCACAAAGTATCGTATTTATCTAATCAAAATATCTTCAAATATTTTTAGTGGAAATCTTCCGAGTGTAAAGGATTAAAATATACTCTACGCGCATTCGTCCTGCGTTCGACGAGTACGCGCTCCATTTTTCAATTTTACTGCCCGCAGAACGAGAGGTTTTTCCAACTAAATTCTGCACGAAAGCGTCGTAGGGCAGGGGATTAACGTTGAATCTTTCTAAAATCGCCTCTCCCACGTCGAATATCAAGTTTCCAGGATTCCGTGGATCATCAGTGGGTCTGGAGACCGCGGAACGCGAAGGACGGGCATAAAATCCGGGGCCGAAGCCAGTTACGGCGAGCTAAGTGCGCGTTCGCGGTGAAATTTCCTCCAGTGTCGTCAACCCTGACATTACGATCGCCGGGACGGTGTCAGGGCTACGATATCCTCCGACAGGACTCGCGATGGAAAAAAGGAGCCGAGCGCGGCCGGGGCTCGCCGCACTTAGACACACCGGCCAAGTTTTCATGTTCCACCAGTGCGGACAACCGCGTAAAAGTATCCCGTTACACCACAGTAGCCCAGATACCGGGTTACGGTGCACGAATTGTCAATCGGAGCCCAGAGGTTGCGGGAGTTTCCTCGGAAAAAGGCGACCGCGATCGGCCGACCGCAAGAATTTCGCGGCACCGTTCGCCTTTTTTCTCCGTCGTTCTTCGATTTTTTCCCCTCTCGTCCCGGTGCGTCGACCGGCCACCGATAACAGAGACTTACGACACCGTTCTCGTGATTCCGAATGAATTTCGTGGCAGTCCGAGCTCGACGTTGCTCATTTCTGCCTGAGATACGGCGACCGTTTCGATCGGATCGGCAAGAAAGTTTCTTCACCCGTTTCGTCGGGCGGGCCGTTTAATTTTATTTTGTTATTAGTCCGTTGAACCAGCCTCGTAAATATCCCATAAAATCGGGGCGATTTATTCAACGAAACGGAAACTGGAAAGTCGAGACCGGCGTGTTAAGCAGCGCGATATTTTATTATTAACGCCGCTAGTAAAAATCTCGGAAAATCGGCGGGACTTTATTCGAATAGAAGCTTAACAGCTGTGATTTATCGGAAGAATCGATAGAAATTAATTCTCTGGTCAACCGTAATCAATTTGAACAATCCCTAAACATGTCAATGATGCACAAACACGAATGTTCTACTAGCCACGAACATTATCAACATTCACTCAGCCAACATTCACTAAAATCAATGTTGAAAGTTTCTTAACTCAAGCAGATATCTCGAAGTTGGACTCGTTAAACGCGGATATTTCAAAATTCCGGACTCGTTAGCAGCCTTAAGTACAGAGACTGATTAAACCTAAAATTTTCCGGGGAACGACACAGGAATTTCGTTGGCACTCGCGAGCACTGTCAAACCGTGAAAACTGACTTCCGTGTCGCGACCTAGGCCACGCGCGTTCCACTCGCCTAATCTCCCGTTATCGTAACGACTGTGCGCGGGGTTTTTCACGGGATATCTAGGCCCCGCTTTCGTACGAGCCATAGTAAATCACGCGGGTCGATAAGCGGGCCCGATCAATGGACGGGGCCCAGGCCAGTTATTCAGAAAATCGATCCGTTCGAGCGTTTCAGGGAACGTTCACTTTCGTCCGGGACAGACCGCCCCGAGTTACGACCTGATAAGACGGATGTTGTAACAACACGGCCCAATGAATCATAACATCGATAATATTACAAGGATCGGGGGCCGAGAAGGCCGGTGAATGGTGAGTTGACGTTTTCGCGCGGTCGCGGGGCGTCCTCGCTTTCTTGTCGTCAAGCAAACACATTTCTGTTTCCTGCCATAAGCGTGCGACCGAGGCCGGCCGATTCGAATTTTCAAACGCGGCAACGAGATTTATCAAAGTTCCTTAACCCCTGCGCGGCGGTTCCTCATTAATGCGCGGTTTATGCAGATTCGTGATTTTACGAGTGCATTTCAGATGACAACAGTTCTACATAAATTTATTTTTACTGCCCGGCATTTAAACCGAACGAGAACGACGCGCGGGAATAGTGTCGAACTCCGGCGAGATTGTTCCTTCATTGAATCTCGCGTTTAATGTACGTTATAATCGCATAGACCGCAGTCGACTTATTGGTCTTCGCGAAACTACCCTCGAACGCTTGTTACTAATTTAGCAACCCTTCCGCCGATGGCTCCTATGAATTTCCTTCTCGTCGATTATATAGGGCGCTCTCGTGCTCCAACCCTTGAGCAGGTGGATGGAAATTTGCAGTTTAACCGTTGCGAGTACCGAAACTGATAAACGCAACAAAGCGATTAACTCTCTAATGAAACTTGCAAATTTAATTATCGGACAGAATCTTAACCTTGTTAACGTGTTCCGCTAATTTGAAAGTTTAGAAAGTTGACAGAGGTTTGAAGCGTTCGAGTCACCGGGTCCAAACAGACCCACCGTTCAAAGTCCAAACGGAAATTGAGCCCGACTCGAAAATCCAAGTGCAAGCTCTTGGAAAATCTGGAAAGCAACTTACCTCTGATTTTCGTTTCCTGCGGGTCCAGAGGCGGAAACCGTGGGTGGCTCTGCTGTCCCGGTTTCTTCAGCAGGACACCCACAACCTGCGGTGCCATCATCATCCTGACGAAATCCTCCGGTGCCTCTCCCTCTCGATTCAATCCCGACAAGTCATCGCGGCACGGTCGACCCTTTCCACGTGCACACAAACACAAACTCTCGCTCTCTTCGAGTTTCCTTCCAAAGATAGGTCCCGTGTGGATCACTGTTGCGCTGGTTAGACCGCCCACTTGGCCCGAAATTGAACCGATGGGGCCAACGAACGGAGCACGCACGGTAGCGAGAAGGAGGGCAGCCGATTCGTTCGGTTCAGACGGTCTGTCCGTTTGATTGGCCAAGGCGACGTGTCACTTTAGCGAGGAACAAGGCGCCAGACGAGTGCCAGGCCCCTTTCCACTCTCTGTTTAGACGTTATCACGTCTCCGTTGTCTCCTGGCACACGCGAGCGTGACCTTATCAGGCAGCGGGACGAAAAACGTCCGGCTATTACGCCGTCCCGTGATCCAGAATTCCCTCGGCCGAACTGTCTCCGGTTAGCTTCCCTTCTTTCAGCTTCGTTCGAGCGATGTCTCTTATTTCGTAGCGGTTACCGCGGAATCACCTGTTGACGAAGCGGTCATCGGCGCGAGTCGTCGGCCCGCGAAGTCCCACGACAATGGCCGGCGGTCTTGATAGGGAGCTTGCAATTACCGCGGCCGAGATAACGTTATCAACCGGCTTTCGCCTTCGACGAGCGGCTAATGAGCCGTGCCTCGAGTATCGCGGAGCAGTTCTCGAGACGTGTTAACGTTTCTTTTATGCTCGACCTGATTTGATTTTTACGAGCCGCGCGTATATAGACACACGAAACGCCGCGGACGAATATATAGAGACCGCCGAGAACGGAAACGCGGAGAATTTCACGGTGTCGGAGTTGCCAGTTTATTCACTGAACTAGAAATTAATTCTTCACCAATTAGGAGCGCTGGATGCGATATACTCTAGGAGGGATCGATGGTTTCTTTATTGTTGGTTGATTTTTCGTTACACGATCTTAACACACAGCGGGGAGAGCACAGTCA